GCCAGACCCTAAAAACCCAAGAGCCCGCAACCCTAAACCCTAAATCCTAGAACCCAACACCGGCGACGAAGACCTCATAAATCCATAAGAACTTTCCAGGAAGGCCTACGACCTAAGCCGTCTGTTCGATGCGAAGAAGCGTCAAATCCCAGGTACCAGCCGCTGCCGGGGCAGACAGCCTGTGCTGCTCGCATTGCAATCAGCGCCTGTCGAGCTGAATTTCTTGAGTGTATCTGTTATTGGGATTGCAGAGGGTGGGGGGATATGAGCACTCACATTGATGTTGGGGCTTACTGTTGATTCCCGGAAAGAGAGGGGACCCGACCTCTGAGCTTCGGTGTTCGGGGGTTTCGGGTAAATGGGTCCCTAACTTAGAGATCCCGCGGTTTGGGATGAATGATTAAGGGTGCAGGGTTTGGGGTTTAGGCTTTGGGGGTTTAGCGTTTGGGGTTTTAGGCCTACTGCGGTGTCGCTCCAGAAGTTTTGCAGGGCCCTAAACCCTAAACCCAAACCCTAGCCTCCCGAACCATAAAATCTACACCCCAGCCCCACGTTTTGGATCCGCGAAATTCAACTCAACACCTTCAAACCATCTGATCAGAAAAGCAAGTAGTCACACCCAGAAAAGCGTAGGCTAAGAACAGATCGTTCGAGGTTTAGGGCTCAAAGCTTGGAGATGAGACCCTAAACCCTGAACCCTGAACCCTAAACGCTTTAGGGTTTAGGGTTTAGGGGTTTGGGTTTAGGGTTTAGGGTTTAGGGGGTTTAGGGTTCAGGGCATAGATGGACCGGATTAGGTATCAGGCTTGAGTATACGCCCTTCGCTGGAAGGAGTCATGCGTTTGATTCAAGAAGTCTCTTCTGTTGCTGTCGTCGGATCATGTAGCTCTTCGGGATTCAGGATTTAGGATCCAGGGTCATGGGTTGAGGGTTTCATTTCACATGGTTCCAAGGTTTAGAGTTTAGGGTTTCCGGGTTGGCGGTTTCAGGGAGTTTGGTACTGAGGCTTTCTTCTGTCTGACTTAAAAAGCCTCGGCCAAATTTTGATTGCTACGGGTGAGGAGTTTGGGCTTTGGACGGGTTTACCTCAACCCTGAACCCTAAACCC